AGACCAGCTCAAGGCTGTTTGCTCTTATTAGCTCAGGCTATGTCAGATAAATTGTGTCTACAAATATAAATCTCAAAGACATTAGTTAAGCTTTCTTTTCTCTCTCATACTCAGGGCCTACAAGCAATTTAGTCAGTTAGCATTGGATTCAAGCAGAGAATAGTACTGGCCAGGGAAGCACCTTGGTCCCATCTCTCCCCTCCCTCTGCAGTCCCTGCCATGAGCCCAAAGTCATCTGGGTGAAGGAGGGAGGAGAAAGAGAAACTCCAATAGCAAATAAAGGAAATACTCTCCTTTCTGGTGCCAGTGCGAAAGAGAAGGGAATCCAACATCCAGGGAAATATACTTGCCAACTATTGACATGATTGTTTATACTGATAGACACTCTTATTGTCTAAGCAAGATCCTAAAAGTCAGTGGCATCTCCTCCAGCTTCTTCCCACAAGGAAGAGACAAGCCAGTTCCATGGAGCGGGTTTGAGAGATGCTAAGGGAAGGAATAGAGCTGTTTCCTGGAGGTATCCTGCGATTCCTGCCTGTTCAACAAGTATTACAGAGAGTTAGAAAAGGAGGGAGGGAAGAAAAACTTCACCTAACAAACAGAAAACAGGATCCAAGTGAAGTCAAAATTGCTGATGCTTAGAACTCTGGTCTGGTACAATATATGGATGACAAGGCCTGCGGGCCTAGGGGAGCCACTGAATGACCCGGTCACTTTAGTAATGTTTAGATTTCTATTAGATTTCTATCTTTCACCAATAATATGTATGCCAGTTCTCCTTACTCAGAACTGAAATCATCCATGAACAGTTATTATGGAAATAACCTATCTTTCTGTGAACACCATCAGGAGAGTGAAGGAGAAAGGACAATAAGTGAAGGGAAGAGGAGGGGAGGGTCAGGTAGGAACAGGAAGAGGAGTGAGGATAGGTGAGGGAGGGGAGGAAAAAGGGGGAGAGGAGAGGGAATGAAAGGGAGAGAGGGGAGGGGAGGGGAGAGGTTGAAATCAGCAAGGCAGCAAACCAAGGAATGAAGAAGCCAGGAAAACAATCACAAAAATACTAATGATCTGTATAACAAATATTTATTGGGGACTCTTCAAATGCATGATCTGACTGAATCTCTGACAGGCTCCTGAGTGTGGTGAGGCAGCATGCTGGGTGAGGATGAAGGTTTTGCGCTTGGAAATATGCCTGGCATGTTACAGGCACTCCACATCAGTTATTTTTACAATGAGATAGGTGCTATTATTTCCATATTTTACAGATGAGGGAACTGAGACTTAGATTAAGTGCGATCATACACCCCTTGGTGTTTGAGTCAATGTTGGGCTGCAACAGTGTGCTGGTCCCAGTGGGCTGGACCAGACAGGTCAGGTGTGTGGCAAGCTGTGCCATCATACAGTCTGTGACGTTTGCGCAACCCCATGCATTTCGGAACAGCCCCACTGTTAAGTGAGACATGACTATAATTACCACAAATTACTATGGGTGCTTTGGTAAGTAGAGCATGAGGCAGGATTTGAACCCAGGGGTCTGACTCCAGGGTGCTCACTCAACCCTAATGTAGACCAGGTTTTGACACCCACTCGTCTCCCCTTCCGGCCTCTCTCCTCCTGAGACCCAGCTGCCCAAGGTGCCTACTGTTTGTTTTGTCTTGGCCCTGCTTCCACTCACTGCCAACCAAGCCCTGAGCCAAAGGGGAGGATAACACCTGAAATGCTGAGCACAGCACTGCCTGAGGCCTCGAACTTTGTGGAGGGTTTTAAAGACTGAAAAGGCGATGGACAAATTATGGCCTAGTAAAAGGCCAGTGAACAATAGACTTCACTCAGTGGGGACTTAATGAGCAAGAAACTGAAAGAGAGAAAGAGAAATTAGAGATCAGCCTTTTGACATCACTGTCACAAATGACGGTCTTCTCCAAACCCAGATAAGCAGCTTTGGCCCAGAGCTGAGCAGAAGGTGGAGCTGTGTGCCGAACTGGGTGTGAAAGATGCTTCTTAACAGCTTTGAAGAGATGGAGCTCGTGAATAGAATTATGAGAGAAACAAGGTGGGCTGAAAGGACTGAGCTACACTGGGCTACACTGGGCTACACTGGGCTACACTGGGCTACACTGGCAATGGGCCTTACACCAATTGCCCCAGAGAAAAGGGGTTCAATTCTGGTCCAACCCCCGCCACTTTCATTTTGGGTTTCAATTGTATATGACAGTGAATCTTTGTAAATGCCAAATAAATCCTACCATGGGATTCCATTTCTCCCTCATTCCCTTATTTCTTCTCTCCTCCAATCCTCTCTCTAGGCCATCCCATTCCAATGCACACAATAAATATGTGTGGATCTGACATGAACCCCAGGTCTCAGGTCTGCCCAGGGCCACCGGAGCGGAGCTGTCTTTCTAGTAATCATTCCAGATGGTTCATTGCAATCCCACTCATCATCCTCAAACTCGAGCTCGTCTTTTTTTTTTTTTTTTTTTTTAACACAGATGTTCTACTGTTTCCTCGGGGCCCATTAATGGTAACCCTTGGGTGTCACTTTTCTTAGTTAATTTTCTATGCCTACATAGTAACCAACCCGCCCCCCACCCCACCCCATGAAATTGCCCCTCTGCTATTCCTCTTCTATTCTCACATTCAAGGCCATGAGTTGGACTGGGAATTCTGGAGTCACATAACAATCACTACTCAATAATGCAGTGATGAGGTCTCCTCCCACCACCACCGCTTTCCTGCAGACTGGAATTTTAACTTCTTTGAAATTAGGTCAGGTCAGCTCTTACCCTCCACACCCCACCCTACCCCCCACCATCCACCTCACACTTTGCTTTCAGGAATCTCTTTCCACACCTTAGACGTGATCATATCACAATTTTAATCAAACCCCACTCAGGATTCTCTAGGGGATGGTTGCCAAGACGAACTTCTCCAGACCTGAGTTCAAGGCACAATGTTGTCTGCCACTGCCTTTCCCATGCAGGTCTCTATGTATGAGCACTCCACACATGTCTCTACTCCAACCGCAAAGGCCCACTGACCAGGCCTTTGAAAAGACAAGGAAAGAACCTTCCCAGAGACAAACGATCCTGTCCTAAAACAGAAGCTGGGGTTAACCCAATAGATCAAGACTAGCTGGGAGAAAGAACTACCCCAGTCAGGGAGAGGCAAAATGAATTTTCTACCACAGGCAGGGTTTACCATGGGCCTCTAGGGTTGGCCATGTTCTGAGAAAGCAATCCCAGAATCCAATAAACAGTGAGATACAGGTGAGGGCATTGAGAAAAAGAGTCAGTATAATCCTTGGACTTGAGCCAGGCAGGTATACTTGCCGAGTTTCAGAATCTCAGAAAATTAGGGCAGAGAAGAGAAGTCTAGTCATAGGAGATTAAGACCGACCCAGGAAGTTCTTCCAAAAAGGCAAGAAGGGGCAAGACCCAGGAAGTCAATATTTAGGTAGAGGAAACACACATCCATATAGCTTTTCTGCTACTAACAATGACCCCTTTCTTAGGGCTCACCATAATGTTATACACCAGAAGGAGTTTTGAAGGAACTGGGGATGAGAGGGGGTAGCAAAGGAGGTGACTGACCAGAGACTATTCTCACGTTCAAGGCCATGAGTTGGACTGGGAATTCTGGAGTCACATAACAATCACTACTCAATAATGCAGTGATGAGGTCACAAGTGGGGGTCCCCTCTCCCCTCCCCTGGCTTCCTCAGTCAGGCAGAGGAACCAGAGGGAAAATCCACCTTCCCAAGCACAGCTGTACCATCCACCCCACTTGACTACTTGTCAGGTTCACTACCAACACCAAAGGGTGAGTTCCTTTAGCCAGCTGGAAATGGCCTCTTTCCCCTCTCCTCTCCTGAGAGTGACCCAAAGCCCTCCCCACCCCCAGTCCACTGAACAAGTTTGAGATGGTGACTATGTTTGGGTGAAAGTTTTCTCTCATCTTCAGTAGCAAGAACTCATTGGAAACAGAGATACTTAAAAACTATGGTGTTCAATTTAATGATCTGCTTCTCCAGAGACCAGTGCCAATTTCAAAACTACCTTAGATAAAAGATTATTTTTATATTGCTAAAGGAAAGCAAAGGCGGGCCAATCAGACCCAACTGGAAAGTATTGTCAGGGATCAAAAAGACATGTCCACATCTAGAAGTCAAATTGTCTGTAGTGGAAGTCTTAACTCAGGGTAAAAGTCAACCATGAGGGGAAGGAATTGGTTCCAACAACCATTTTTCAAAAATGGAACTTCCCAGTCTACTGCCTCCTCTCTGACCTCTTCCCTTCCCCTGATCACTGTGGGGCTGTGGGGGGAGGTAGTTCCACGGGGCCCAGTTGAAATAGGGATTCAGCTGCCTCCCTTCCTCTGTCTCTGAGTGAAGAAAGTAGCCCTCAAGGCTTAGGGGGTTGGGTGCTTAGGCAGAATACAGGGTTGAAAGCAGTGTCTTGAACCCATTAATAAACCCCCCACTGTCTCTCTGGGGGGTAGAGAGGTGTCCTTGCAAGGAATTCTTTAATACATGATCATGCCACAAGCCTTTCACAATCAACACTTGCTCATAGACTCCTAAGAGTAATGTTTTAAAATGAAAAAAAAAAAAAAAAAGAGCATGAAGTTACAGAAGATACCAACTGCACCGATCAATATATGGCCAAATATGGTGTTTACGGCAGGAGGGCAGAGGGGGTCAGAGTCCTAGGAACTGAGGTTAAGAACTCCTGCGAGGGCCTATAGAATGGCTGTAGGAGCAAGTGAAAGGGAAACAGGCCCTGGGTGCAGGGGTCAGGAAATGCTGTCATCAACATGACAGGCACGAGGGCGGGTTTCAGTAGGAACTTGGTCTAGAGCCTGAACACACTCCAGGAATCTTCCTCCAGAGCAAGGATGGGAGGCGGCAGCTGAGCAGGTCGTCCTCCGCTCACGGCGGGTCCCGAACCACCTACAACCTTTTGCATATGTCTTTGCAGGATCCAGAAACACATTAAAGAATGTCAAGTGATGATAAAAATAAATCAACTGATTCCAAGACTGAACAAAAGAACTGTGACCCCAAGTGTGAGCAGAAGTGCGAGAACAAATGCCAGCCCAGCTGTTTAAAGAAGCTGCTTCAACGGTGCTCTGAAAAGTGCCCACGGGAAAAGTGCCCGCCACCACCAAAGTGCCCCCCGCCCTGCCCCCCACCTTGCCCTCGCAACTGCCCACCTCCCTGCCCTAACAAGCCTTGTGCCAAGCCCTGCCCTCCTAAATGCCCACCTCCATGCCCCCCGAAATGCCCACCCCCAGAGTGAGGCATCTCGGGCACCAGCTGTGAGCACACCATGTCCACCATCTCTGCAACGTTCACCACCGAAGGGCTGGGAGCTGAAGCTATGAACTGACAAGTAAACCCGTTCCTCTGCTGTGCAAGACTTTCTTCTGGTCGCTGGCATTTTGTTTGTTTGTTTGTTTGTAGTTGCCCAGCACTAAACCACCCTAAGAGACGTCTGGGAGTGACGGCGGGATCCCAGGCTTTCCTCTGACCTTGGTGCTTCCTAGTGGGAGCTGCTTGAGGGAGTCTTAAATAGGGCTGTGGAGAGGCCAAGCCAGGAACTCAGGTGAACAGGAGGGAGAAAGAGAGGGTGAGGGGTGGGGCGTGAGGGAGGAGCTAGGAAAGCTCAGGAAATGGACCCTGCCTTTTCTCTCTCAGCACCGCGTGCTTAGCACCACAGTGTAATGCTGGGACAGATCCCTTTGCAAACAGGCCTCATGGGTGTGAACCCTGCCTCTGCCCCCGACAGCTCTGTGACCCTAAGCAAGTTGCTTAATGTCTCTGAGTCTTACCTACCACCTCTGAGTTCAAAGGATGATCACTTGGGTCACCACCTGTGGATTTAAGTGCCTGGTTTATTGGACAAAGCCCGTGCTCGCGAGGGGAGCCCTCAGCTGCCCGGGTGTGACGCGTCCCATCACACTGGGACTTACTGCCCTGCACTGGTCCGCCACAGGCCGAGTCTCCTGAACACAAGTCGTTCTCAGCCAGGCATTCTGTTAGCAAAAGTAAAAAGGGATGTGAACGACCGAGTCAGCTGCCAGACTGCGACCGTGGGCTGTAGTTAGGTCACGTGCTGCCCCGAGAGGCTTCCATGAATCACTGTGTTTGCAACCTCCTGTGAATCTGTAAGCTCTCAAAAGAAAAAAAAATGAGTATAAAACAAATAGAAAAAGTTGGCTCTAGAAGACCTCGATTAGGGACACAGAGGCAAAACTTTTTTTTTTTTAAAGATTTATTTATTCGTACAGAACTGGAGTACAGGCCAGAGATGCAGAGGGTGAGAGGATTCACCAGAGACAGAGTGGGGAGCAGAACAGGCAGATCGACGAAGTACACCGCTGAGGGGAGCAGCGGGCGGTTCAGGAGAGGTCTGCCTCGCCATGTGGTCACCTCCAGGGCAGGCGGGGATCGAACTCATGCGGAAGTGGCTTAAGCTTCTTGGTGCTGTGCTTTAGCCCGCTGCACCACCAGGGAGGGCCCCAAAACTTTTACAATGGAGGGACTAGTGGGGATTATTTCAAGAAGCTAGAGAGAGTCCATGCCAAACTAGCTTAATTCACAAAAGGGAAGTTATGGGTTCACATTGCTGGAAAAGCTACTAGGATCAAGAGAGGCAGAGGATCAAAGGACTGTAAGATCCAGGACTTGAGGGCCTGGAGGAGCGGACTCACTACCACCATTCAAACCCCGCCTCCCCTAACCTCCACTCTTCTGGACGGCCAGCTCCTCTCCTCCATCTCAGTGGTAAGGGTGGTAAGGGCCTAGGCCAGCTTTCAGCTCCTCATCTGAGGACAGGTGAAGCATACGGGTGCTCCTATTAATTCCAGGACAGGGGGAAGGCATGAACTCACCTCTGGAGCCAAGTGGGTGGGAGGGCTTTGCCACACAGCTGACCTCAGGTCATCCTCACAGCCCACAACACTCAAGCCGAAGTAGGTGTAGCATTCGTTGCTGTCCGTGACACCAGTGCTAAGAGGTCACGAAAGAGACCACATTAGGGCCACATCACAGCATTCCAACAGCTTTCTGTCCTTCTGAGTCAGCACGATGGTTCAGGACAACAAAGGATGGGTGAGGAAGGATACCGAGTGTGTCCAGCACATGCACCCGCGGGGTCGTGGAACTGGCTAGTTAGAGAAGCAAATGTCCAGTCCCACACAGCCCGCCGGGCGCAACCCACTTGTCAGACGTGAAACCCAGTTACCTCCTCTACTGTGAGGGAGCCTTGAGATCTCAGGATTCTGGTGAGAGTGGGAGCCTAGCACTGGGATTCCCACATACTCTGGTCCTGCAAAGGGGCATCTCAGGGGCACTGGGAACCTCTTGAGAGGCCTGTGGCCCACCATTTTCAGCAGCCAGCAAGCTCTTCCACCTCACCAGAAATCAAAAGAGCGGAGAAGAGGTGAAGTGAGGAGAAAATGGAAATAGGACCAAAATGTGACCTCCTCTGTCATTCTATTATCATTTTTTTCCCTATTTCTTTTTTTTTAAAGATTTATTTATTTGTGCATACAGAAATGGGGTACAGGCCAGAGGCTCAGGGGTGCGAGAGGCTTCACCAGAGACAGAGCGGGGAGCAGAACAGGCAGATTGACGAAGTACACTGCTGAGGGGAGCAGCGGGCGGGTCAGGAGAGGTCTGCCGCGCCATGTGGTCACCTCTGGGGCAGGCGGGGATCGAACTCACGCGGAAGTGGCTTTAGCTTCTTAGTGCTGCGCTTTAACCCGCTGCACCACCAGGGAGGGCCTTTTCCCTATTTCTTAATCCAGTTTGAATTGGTCATTTTTAAAATAACAAATCTCAGCATATCAGTGCTAAAGAGTGTGTCACTGTTGCTGGGCTAGTAAACAGACAAAAAGCCTTTCTTGAAATCATTTGCGAAATACCAAAAGAACAAAAATGTTCAACACTTTTGATGCCATTGTTTCACCTCTCAGAATCTATACAAAGAGAATACAAAAATGAAAATTTATCTATAGATTTTATATCAAGATTTTATTTATTTTTTTTTAAAGATTTATTTATTTATTCATACAGAACTGGGGTACAGGCCAGAGGCTCAGGGGCGGTGAGAGGCTTCACCAGAGACAGAGCGGGGAGCAGAACAGGCAGATCAATGAAGTACACTGCTGAGGGGAGCAGCGGGCGGGCCAGGAGAGGTCTGCCGCGCCATGTGGTCACCTCCGGGGCAGGCGGGGATCGAACTCATGCGGAAGTGGCTTAAGCTTCTTAGTGCTGTGCTTTAACCCGCTGCGCCACCAGGGAGGGCCTCAAGATTTTATATAGAGATTTTTATGTAAAATCTAAAGCTGATTATCATGGTGTGACTTGGAAACAATTTAAATATCTACCAGAGATTTGATTACATTTAGACCGACTACTTGCTGGAACATTGTACAATCATTAAAACTTACTAATGGGAGGAGGATCAAAGTCTTGGTTGAAAGCACAGCATAAAGCACTGGTGTTTAACCAAAAACTTTTATGAATAATAATGACGATGATGATAGAAGGAAATGTATCAACACTCTAGTTGTAGGACAGTGGAGTCAGAGGTAACCAGTGAAGTGTCTCTTTTTCTGGATCACAATGATAGGTTTTTTATTATCTTGCTAATAGAAAAAAAAAAGAAATCATAAAAGTTCAGAGACCTCCCCCAAAGTCCTTTCATTTTTTCAGTCAACACCCCCCCAAATAAAAAAAGGAAGAACATCTTCCTACACCTGCTACTGTGTAGCAGGTCCCCACCTGGGGCGCCTCCCTTCAAGGTGCAGGATCCCCAGGTGTGCCAGGGGCTTGAGGTGTGTGGACCCGGGGCTGCTGCTCTCCCAGGTGGTTTGAGGACCTGGCACAGACTGGGCAGGGCCTACGCTGACAATATGAAACCATTTGCCAGTTCGGTTCCCTTTTCTCCCATGTAAATGAAACCAAAGATAGACATCTCTTAATGGCTACTTAGCAAAAAAGGCTGGATCAAAGGCAATTCCAGGGAAGACGGCTGGAACATGATGAAGGTGCTGCCTTCCTGTGGAATACCATAATTAGCCCGGGCCAGCGGTGGCCGCCCAGAGTCCTGCTCCATAGGTTGGGATAGATAAATAAATAAGCAATATCTGAAGAGCGGCACCCAGGAACCTGCTCACAGATACTGTGGTGAGGCAGGATGAACTCCGGTCAGGGAAGCAGGACGACGAGGGGACTCTGCCACCACTCCACAGCCAGACCTGAGAAAGGACGTCCACAGGGGCTGGGGGCCCCGAAAGGACCCGCACAGGATGTCTGGCTTTGGAGCGGGAAAGGACCTGAGAGATGGTGCCAGCAGGCCTTGCCTACACATGCCTATCGCAGAGGGGAAGGCAGGAAGGAAGAGCTGCCGGGACTTTGAACCTGTCTCTGTCTCTCGTACCATTTTTAGTCCTGTCCTGACACCAGCACAGATGCTTTCTGGGAGGCTGTCTGGATCAGGGCAGGTCATAACTGCTGCTGTCATAGCTAGTCTGTTGATGCTTGAGAAATAAACAGATGGGAAATACCCTAAGTCATCTGCCAAACACATAAAGGCCCTAACATACAAACCAATCCTGAAGTGCATATCAGGGTATTTTCAGCTTCACCTGTCTGGCAGGTACATGAAACCTCAGCTATGCCACCTCCACAGCCCTGTGCTCGCCCCAGCTCAGAGGAAACACATGACTTTTTCCACCAAAAATGGCCTCCTTATCTCTCACATGCAACACTCAGATCCTCCTAACTGACTTTAGAAGTTCCCAGCTCACCATCCTCCAGCTCATCCTGCAATAGAAGCCAAAGGCAGTCTTGCTAAAACTCAGATGGAAATATGTCACTCTCCTCCTTAACATCCATATAAGGGTCCTCTTTGTCTAGAGAGCAGCCCAGGAGCCTTAACCTGTCACCAGAACTCTGGAGGAGCTCAGCCTCCTCCCACTTTGCCTGTCTTCCATCTCCCCGCAGCAGGTGGACAGGTAGCTGCTCGCATTTCCTGGCACAAGGCAGACATTTCTTGCCCTTGGGACTTTACACTTGCTTCCCTGTCACGCTTCCTCCTCCCATGGAGTCCTCCTCTCAATGATCCATGTGGGCAAGTCCTCATCTCTGATCCAACTCAGGGGTCACCTGCTCCAAGAATCCTCCCCGCCTCCCATCCTCGGGCTGGGGAGAGGTCCCCCTGTGTGGTCTCCAGGCTCCCCTGCCTTCCTCTCCTATAGCACCTACACCACCCCATTCCGCCCAGCTGTT